CAGAAATATGAATTCGTTGTTGGTTATTGTACGTTGAAAATTTCCATTTTGGTGTTACCAGTCAAAATTCAACAGGCAATATCATTTACACGCGATTTTATATGTTTTTTTATACGCTAAAAGTACCTTTTCCGATCGCTGGCCCCATCACTGCGTCATTAACGTTGTCATTCTTGCCTCTGTAACATTTTATAATGTAGCACAGACTATGGATACTACTGAAATAGAATTTCGTAAATTGAATTCATCCTAAAACATTTGTCTAATTTTTAAGGGGTTATTTTTTTTTTAATCTAATAATATTAATAATATTTATTTACATACTTTCTTAGGCTTAAAATGACTAATTATTTGATTTAGTCATTGGAAATAGTGTCAAAATATTCATATTCTTGTCGAAATAGGACAAAACAGTGAAAGAGTTCAGCTTCAACATGGAAGATAAATATTTTTAAATGACCAAAACTAGTGTTTCTAAACACTGAATTATCAAATTTTCAAGGGAGATACATGAAGTAGGCATTAAGCCGCTATCAACAATTTGTTTCCTCCTAGTCTAAGTCATATTGAAAGCACTGTTTTATTTACTTTATTTGTTTCAACAAATTTTAGTCTCAGGATGATCATTGACAATGAGGCTATGTGGGGATTCGGGCCGCTTACCAAGACTGTTTAAGACATTTTCTTGCTTTCTTGCTCCTGATAATTAGACCAATTCGTATATACCAAGGCAAAAAAATGTGGTTCGGATTCCACTATAAACTGTAGGTCCCTTAGTTGCCATTAGCTGTATGGGCTATTAATTAACAGCTGTGTCTAAGGAATGTCGGCCTTAGTCACTAACAAGACTACAAGATGGCGCCACTCATCCTACACTCATCTCCATTCATACTTGGCTTAAAATACCTACTATCACGAATACTAGAAAAATACCGGTATGTATCATAAACATAAACAAATGACGTTTTTGGCCCGAAAATTAACATTATTTAACATTGATTAAATGGAACTGCCAAAACATATGTTCAATGCTATTAGTATATAGGATTCGGGCCAACAACGTCATTTGTTTATACTTATGATCCATACCGGTATTTTTCTATGATTCGTGCCTACTATGTATGGTCACCATTTCATAAAAAAGTATTAAGTAAAGTAAAGTATCAATGATATCAATAATTATCTAAAACTAGTGCACCTGATGCTCGAATTCGAGCAATTACAGGCGTTATTTCAAAACAAATAACCAACAAAATAATTATATTTCCCGATGACTTAAAAGGGTCAACTCAAAGATAATGTGTAATCAATCACTCCACTACAGTTATCGAAACTGAAAACGAACGCTCTTGTGTGTATCATGTGTTTACTATAAACAGCTGTTGTAGTATGCAATTAAAACAAATTATTCGTCTGTTTAAGTAAACAAAATCTTTTCTTCATAAGAAATACATTGGGCGTTTGACGGCCTGTGGGGCGAAGCCCGAGGACTTTTATTACATAAATTGATGAAAGGGGGCGTATACACAAAAAATAGTTAATTTTGACAAGTCGTTTGTAAAAATCCGTCCATTATTAACGGAGGAGTAGTGTTTCGTAGAAATCTCCTTCACGTCTTATATATAAGGATGGGGACGCCACTATGTGCGTATTTTAACCCAAATATGATAGTGAATAATGAGTGTAAGATGAGTGATGCGATCTTGTCGTCTTGTTAGTGACTAAGGCCGACATGTTCCTTAGACACAGCTGTTAATTAATAGCCTACACAGCTAATGGCAACTAAGGGACCAACAGAACCTCATCTTGAGGAATTAGAACGTAATTTTTTCCTTGTAATTAACGAATTGGTCTAATTATCAGGATAGTACTGTGGATAGTCGTAGTACCCACTAGTGCGGACGTTAATCCACACCAGGGAACATCGCATCCACATTGCATGTCTATAAATATCCACAATTCGTGATCTTCAAGTAGCTGGATTACAGGACGACGCCACCGTCCCAGTAGTTAGGAATGGGAACTTCCTATGAGAACCAAAATTGAACATTGATATTATGTAGGCATGAGGGGAGGGCAGGTCGAGGTTTATGTGGATTTGTAGCTGCATTTAAGTTTTTTGAAGTTAGGTTAGATTAGGAAGGTCAAGTGTAGGTTATAGTCTACCGGGTTGTTAATTGTGTTAAATCCCTGCTGTTTTTTTTTTCTTTTGGAGTCATAGTTGGTTAAATGACGAGGATACAATTTTGAAAATGCTTGCAAATAGCCGCGAATAGCTTAAAAAAAAACATGGATGTAACACAATTAACAACCCGGTTGACTATGACGTACACTTTAACTTACCTAATCTAACCTACTTTCAAAGGACTTGCTGTCACGAATCCGCATAAAGCATGGCCTGGCCTCCCCACATGATTTCTCACTTTTGAAAGCGATTTATAGAATAAGTTTGGTTAGGTTTGGTTTGCTTAGAACAGTTTCATTTTATAACCAATGGTTATTTTTTTCGCTTAATGTTTTACAGTTCATAAGAGCTAGATGGTGGAATGTTTGATCTGTAATGGAATCTAAAGCGCAATAATTTGCTATTCAAAAAAGGGTAATGGTGAAATATACAGGGAGTTTTCATGATTTTCGAGTAGTTTGAAGAGTACCTATTCCAAAAACACGCAGCACATTTTTGTTAATATCTCGCTTATTTAACGTCATATCAAAATACTGGGTTCTTGCCCATTTGGAATCTGGTTTTTATCCTGGTTAATTTGAGTACTCACATGACGTAAAAATAAATGTTTTTTGTCGTATTGGTCGTTTTCAGGCTTATGGTCGTTTTCCACGGAAAAAGTAAGTCGTTTTCGGATTCAGCATTGACTTTCGAGTACAATTAAAAAAGAAATTAAAAAATCGGATGCAAACCCCAAAATGGATTTTTGGTAAAAAAAAAAACCATGTCCATAAGAATAACATTGGAACTTTAAGGGCTTCTAGGGCGGATGCCTGTAATAAAATCATTATGAAAACTGTTTATCTTTCCAATTTTATACCTGAACAATGAGTAGGCCTATACAAAATATCAGCCTTCTCTGGAAGTTGGAGATGATGAATCAGTGCGTCAATGAGTGAGGGCTTTTACTTTTATATGTTTGGATTGTAAAGCATATTTCATATGAACTATGTTTACATAAACGGCACGGGGCATATGGGGTACGTTCATAGAACATGAACTATATACGTAGTCTATTTGTATGAGGCAATTTAAACCCCTTGGGGCGTTTAAAGCTTACGCTTTCTATCGGAGATACTAGGAGAGTATCTCCAATAGTATTTGAGATTACACAGGTTCTGCTCCCGATAAACATTTAGCGAGCTGTTTATTGAAAAGCCATTTGCAGAGCCGGGTATCAGGGAGCAGCAAATGAAACATTAAACTTTCATCGGGCCACGTGCTCAACACTGGTACAACGTGAATCTTTAAATTTCAATCTATCAGTAGTTACTTCTAAGTGCTTACGTTCATCGACAGTTGAAAGTAAGGGCATTTGTGAATGCTTCTCTTACATGGTACCATTTATAAAAATAATAACAGTTAAACAGGAAGAAATTTAGACAAGTGTTGTTGAAATATCTGGGTTATAAAACTTAAAGTGCACATTCATACTGTAATTTGACGCTATGTTACGTTTTTTATATTTTATTTCCCATGATAAAACCTTATTAATAGTATTTAATTCTATTAAAAAATTGAATACTTCCCTTGTGGCCTCCATATTCACTAATTGTGTTACCTGGATATCAGCATCGGCGATCTTGGGCGATTTGACTTAACAATAAAGAATTCTGCGAGAATAGTAATAAAAAAGACTTTGTAATGATTTTATGCTTATTTTTATTTAACGGAACGTTTAATGCACACATTACTTCATACAACAGATAAGCATAAAGTAACTTTAAACAAAATATTCTCAAACTGTGTCCTCCCCCATAGCATACATGCCTCCAACGATATCCTCTAATTTGTTAGAAATACCCACGATTACTAGAAAAATACCGGTATGGATCATAAACATAAACAAATTACGTTATTGGCCCGAATCCTATACTAATAGCATTGAATATATGCTTTGACAGTTCCATTTAAGCAATGTTAAATACAGTTTTTCAGGCCAAAAACGTCATTTGTTTATGTTTATGATCCATACCGGTATTTTTCTAGTAATCGTGGAAATACCTTAGTTTTAGATCGAAAATAACATTTATGCCATGCTCTCTTATGAGAAAATAAATTTTCGCTATAAATTGTAAATATAATTTTAATAATTCGAACATTATTTTGTCTCATGAATTGCCAAGTAGCCGTTAAAGTTTCACGAACATCCAGGTTCACTATTTTATCTTTTTTGAAAATTTCCCATAAAGGGAATAAGGACTTACTTTTTCGTTTTGATGTCTCCAGAGGCCAAAAACACAATTTTTTTAGGGAGAGCTGGGAAAATGCGTTTATGCACACAGGTGGCTAGCCTGTAGTGTGGGACTCCAACGGGCTTAAGGCCCAGAGACTACCCACTAAAAACCTCCTCAACTCTTCGGACACTAGCCTGGGAACACTTGTCGCACTTCATCAGAACTAGGCCGAGTTTGCCTACGACCGAAGGGCTTACACCGTGTCTAGCCGTTCATTTCTTATAAACTCTAGACCGTGATCCGATCTAGATCGTTCTTTTTAGCTTGAAGGACATTCCGGACAAAGTGCGACCAGCAGTCCCAGTTGTCCTCACCCTTCAGCAAGGTCTCACAAATCGATTCAATCTACGGCATCCCAAGATGTTGAATGGCCTCCTGGCGGAGCATATCCCATCGTGGACAGCGGAAAAAAAGTGTGTTCCGCGTCGTCGGGAATGCATGGGCAGTATATACAGTCAGGCGAATTCGTTTTGGCCATCAAGTGCAGGTACCTACGACTGAAAATAGCCGTGACTGACAAGAACTGTGTGAGATAGTAGTCAACCTCCCCGTGCCGCCGTTCCACCCACGGTTGGACCTGTCGGATGAGTCTGGCCACAGAAAACTACCCATACTGTTTTCTGTGGTCTGGCAGTCCAACGTCCTCGAGTTTCCCTTTCCCAGCTTTCTTGCCACATCTGAAAAGTGCGGGAGCGCTCCTCCGATCTTGCGGTATCATTTCCAATGTAGCCTTGTCTCCGGTGGATTGCCTTCCTCTCCGCTGCCAAGAGTTTGACAGGGATATCTTCAGCAATTTTCAAAACGGCCGGTTCGGATACCGTACGGTACGCGGTAGCGACCCTGTCCCTGAGTGCCGCCTGACGCTGCACTCGTGCGAGCCTCCTGTACGCCTCCTTGTTAAGCGCGTCTGCCCACACCTCAGAGCCGTAGAGAAGCACGGACTGGACTGCAGACATCAATAGTCTTCTTAAGGCCAAAAACACCATACACATTGAACATATACTAATATTAGAAATGTGAAAGTTTGTGTGTGTTTTGATCGGGGTCATTCACGCATTAACTACTGGTCGGATTGGGCTGAAATTTGGCATGATGATAGCTTACATTCCCGATTAACACATAGGCCTATTCTTATCTCAAAAATCCTTTCGGGCTCTGTCCCAGTGGCTCCCAGCATAGTTAGAAAGACCAATGTATAAGAGTGGGGTTTTTGTAAGTGTAAATACAGTTTTTGCCTAGTATAAAGTCAGAGGGAGATAAATGAGTTTTGCCACTTTGTGTCATTCGATCAATCCACATTGCCAGTTCACAAAACACCGCCCTCAACTGCACAATCAATCCATCAGATTTTGGGAAGGAGCCAGTTATACAAAAAAATATTTGACGATGCGGTTTTCGAAGCTTTATTTTCACAACCTAGGCCTACTACCAACAAATTTTCATTACAAAGATGTAACTCTAGATATTTTTTAGGTTTCATTAAACATCTATAAATTACGTTCCAATGTAGTTCATGTTGCTTAATGGAATATGCCTAGTATGGTTAAGAATACGTTTTACAAGAAAGTCATACAAATATTTAAAGAAATGTAATAATATTAATTAAATTATGATATTTCCCAGGGGAGAATACTTTTAGAAACTAGTCCGAAGAAGAGCTGAGATAAGCTGCCAGTTGGGTGAAAGTAGGTGCTTCAGAAATAGTCTATAAAGCAAATTAACAATATTTATTGTTACGTTTTTAGAATATTTCCAAAATGAATAAAATAAAATATGCATGGTAAAGATAAAAATGTATTGTACTGTATACGTAAAGCGGCCGAATTTATGCGATAGTTTGTCGATTTATTTGTTTACCTGTTTCGTGACGGTATATCTTTTGACTAAATTCTTTTATATAGGTACTCGTAATACATAATTAACTAGTGGCATGTAGGGACATATGACCCTAAAAAGCTTAAAATGTAAAACAACTTATTGTAATGTAATTGAACAAACTACGAATCAAATTATTTATTTGTCTAGATGGAAATCCCTGTACCCATATCTTTGTGTAAAAGGTCTCTCAGTTTGCTTTTTACACATTGACTGTTTAAAATTAACATATGTTTTTCTTCGGGGGAGCAAGCTGGCGTAGTGGTTAGAGCGCAGGACTTCAGTCCCTGAGGTCCCGGGTTCGATCCCCGCCAAGTGACCAATGGATTGTTTCTAAGAGATAATGCCGCAACCCCTAGGTCTAGAGCCTGAAGTAATGTGAAAAACAATCCCAGGCTCGTCCCTAGCGTCCTAGGACAAAAAAATAAATGTTCTTTTCACTTTTAATTTTTGACAAACTGGAGTTTCATAAGAATGTTTGTTTCCCGTGTTAATCTTATGGAGAAATACGAAACTTTAAAGGGCCCCATGGCCTCACTCTCTAATTATTTCCCTAAAAAGAAAGTTTCCTGCACAACTTCACGTTACGCTCTTTCCAATGACACCAAAAGCATGTCAATCGGTTCAGTAGTATCGGAGGAGTATTATCACAAAATACCCCCGCCGCAGCAAACCTGCAGACTAAGCGAATTTCCATTAACCTGATTGGATTTACACTAAAATGCTTCCATAAAAAATAGCACATTTATTTCCTATTTAAATAGAATTAGTTTAAAGAGTACTTAGGTTTGCTGCAACAGGGAGGGTAAAAAAGATTTTTTTTATAAAATGATAATAGTTTAGTAAGAAATAAAAGTATTTTCCAAAATCTATCAAAATATGTTCATAACAAGCAAACTACAACAGTTGACTTATTCTCCATAAGAATAACATGGGAATTTTAAAATTACAATTTCTTTGAATTTTCTCCGTAACAATTAGGCGCATAATAACGCTTCAATATACTAAATTATTTGTTTTTTTAAGCTCTACAAAATGGTTTAAAAAGAAATTGTGAAATTTTGTGTTTTTAGGGTCAAAAATGGGAAAAACCTATTTTTACCCCATAAAACCCCCCATAAACCCCCGTTCCTATAGTCCGATCATGCTGGTTCGCGAACTCGTTCAAGTTTATCCCGCCTTACACCTTCAAACCAAATTTTATCAAATTCGGACAAAAATTACTCAAGTTATCGTGCGGATGGACACACACACACACATATATATATATAGATATATACAAATTTGAACGAATGGTGTTATTGGCCTCTAGGGACATCAAAATGAAAAAGTAAATCGGTCCCGGTCTTAGGTCTTACCATGAGACCTACGGTAATAGCTACTTCCCTATAGGGAAATTCGCTAAAACCTGCTTGCGTATTAAATAAGTAATAAATGATTCAATCACCTTCATTACCACAACGCATGTTTCCATTTGAATTATATATTTAAAATAACACAAGTCTTTTTTAGTCCAGGTAAAATACGAAAAATATATACCTAACCTGGGAAAAATTGCTTTAAAGCCAATCAAAGCAGAATTCTTGTCATTACATATTAGGGGAGGTCTCTACCAAAATCCGACAAAATCCGGCCATGGGAAAACCTCCAAAATCACGATTTAAAATGGCGGCTTTTCCCAATATTGGAATATTTTCAAAAAAAGACACCCCACTGCATTTTTTATCCACATTTTTCGAGATATTGACTTGGGACCACCGCATATATTTTTTGGGTGATTGGTACTTTATTTTTACAGCGTAATCGTTTTTGGCCGCCATCTTGGATCCGCCATATTGGATATCAAATCAAATCAAATATTCCTTTATTGCCAGTTAACATAATATTTACATGCATGGCTTGCGTCAACAATTTTGAAATAAAATACATATTAAACAATGACATAGCTACACTATTACACATTTACAGAAACACATCATGCCTAAAACAAATAACATATTTATGATGAGTTGTATTTAACATAATCTTTTACGCTGTAAAAACTATTTTCTAAAAGAAATAGTTTGAGTTTACGTTTAAAATCCCTAATATCACTAACTGACTTAAGATTGTCAGGCAGTGAGTTGTATAGCATGATGGCATTGTAAAAAGCATGTTTTTTGAAAAAGGAGGTTTTGTGGTATGGAATGTTCAATTTGGATTTTTTTATAATGTTGTATCTGGATTTGGGAATCAAAGGTTCAAAAAAACTATGGTTTTGTTTAAAAAAAATTAAGGTATTGAAAATGTAAATGCAGGGAAAAGTAAGAAGTCTTAATTTGACGAAAGCTGATCTACAAGACCCTCTCTGGCGAATGCCAGCAATGACCCGTACAGCCTCCTTTTGAAGTGCAAAGATGTGCTTTGTTGTAGATGTCTCAGATCCCCAGATAGTGACAGCGTATGACAAATAGGGAAAAACCACCGCATAGTAGGCAGATAGAAGAACTGTTTTATCTGTGAAAGGAGCAAGGCGACGTAACACAAAGATTCCAGAATTAACCTTTCGGTCGACGTTGTCAGTTTGACATGGGAACTTTAGGTTTTCGTCAATGTGAAGCCCTAAAAATTTCAAATTGGTCTTCGAAGATACTATAGTGTCGTCAATCCAAACACTGAGATCAGTTCGATGTCTTGACGATATGCTGAAGTCCACCAAAGTGGTCTTGCCATTATTTATGACAAGACCATTGTCAAGAAACCATTGGACAACGTTGTTAGACTCAAGAAAAGTAGATACTTCCATGGAACCGTGGGTGGTTTTATCAACAACAATTGACGTGTCATCGGCAAACAAACACAAATGGGCATCTGATACGCTATTTCTGATGTCATTTATGTATAAGATGAATAAAACAGGCCCCAATATTGAACCCTGAGGCACCCCAGCTTTGACCAGCAAAACGTCTGAATAACACTTTTTTAGGATGTTTTTGTCAACAAATGGCAATTGGACGGCTTGTGTCCGTCCCCTAAGATAAGAAGACAGCCACTGATTAGCCACACCTCGTATTCCAATGATGTCAAGTTTTTCAAGCAAAAGATCGTGCGAAACCATGTCAAAGGCCTTCCGCAAATCGAAGAATAAATATAATTTCTTAAATGTAAAGATAGTGTTGTGACACATCATAATAAAGTAGATTTTCACGCAGATCACAATGCCGAAATCCGTTTTTTAATATCTTTATTCGTTCTAAAGATATACTAAAATAAAAATTCTACCCTATACATTTCTTATGGACGTTTCGTATTTTGAAAAATTTTTAAGATTATTTTTCTTATATATCCAGTTCTAAATGAGGCTTCTAGTTCGTTCTGGTCTCAAAATGTTCAGTGATGTAACGGCTTTTATTTGAGCTATTGGTCATCAAAATCGGACAGGTTTGACACGAGCTAGAAGCCTCAACACAACATAAAAGTTAATTTTTTAGAAATTCGTTTGTAGTAAAAGATTTATGTCTCGGGTTCTGAATAAGATACAAGGTTCGTTCTGGTCTCAAATTAATCAGTAAATTATCGGCTTTCATTTGAGTGGTCGCTAAATAAAATCGGACAAATTTAAAGCGAGTTTTGAACTTTATTTTAATATTTTATTTATTTTCTTTTTAAATTTGTCTTTAGTTAAAGACATATATCTCCAGATATAAAAGACACTAAAAACTCGCAATCATCTTAAATTCTTCGTAAGATATTAGCTTTTAATCATGCTATGTATTACTTAAATCAGAAACGATTAAGGTGATTTATATTTCACTATTCAATATTAACTAAACTAATTTTCTAAATTTGTATGATATTAAACAACCTATATCTCCCCGTCAAATTTGTCCGATTTTATTTAGCGACCACTCAAATGAAAGCCGATAATTGACTGATTAATTTGAGACCAGAACAAACCTTGTATCTTATTCAGAACCCGAGACATAAATCTCTACCAAAATCCGGCCATGGGAACCCTAAAAATATAGGGTTGAAAAAATTATCAAAATCACGTGTAATTACAGAGTACAACATGTGTAAATTCCACAAAAGGCACACAAAA